GAGGGCCGGGGTTGGGTGCCAGGCACTGCACGGCGCTCCCCGCCCGTGGGCGCGGAGCCTCAGACGCCGAGTGGGGCTTCATCCATCGCGAGCGGAGAACTTGAGTGTCTCTCTTGGAAGCGGTTGTATTTTTAGACATCCCTCCTTTGCTTCCCCCATCCTCCATTCCTTAGCCACGGCAAGACCAGCGCCAGGCAGTCGATTGCGAGGGCAGCCAGCCCCGGCCGCTAAGTTTGTTTTCTTTCGTGAGGTGCGAGGAGAGCCTCAGAGGTGGGTCTTGCGTGGCATCTGACCTCTGTCAGGGTTTCGTGTCAGAGGGCGATCCATCGAAAAGGAGCACAGCCTTCAGTCGAGCCGAAGGAATAATAAACCGGGGAGTTAATCACTAGCGATTAAACTAATTTTAAAGAGCTTCTGCCAACGATTGTTGAAATTCGTCCTCACCTTCCTTACGTTCTACCGGAGCCAAAGCTGCCTTGCTGAGAAGAAACACAAGTGAATGCCCTGCCTCCCCCAAGGAACCCAGCTTCCCGGGGCACCTGACCAGTGCCCAACAAAACACTGGCCCTTCTCTCGTGGGAGAGCCGCTCTGCCACCTGAGTCTGGGTTTGCTTCTAAAATGTCCTTAAAGCCCTTTTAAGATAAGCACAGACCTCTAGACTATTTAAGACGCTGGAGTCTGGGGATCACGTAAAACAATAGTCTCTATATTACAAATACATAAGTAAATGTGCTTTTGGGGGGCGTGATAGATGGACAGTAAGCTTTTTTTAAAAAAAAAATAACAATCTATACTTACTGGTACAGCTCCTCCTTATACCAAAATTTAAAAGGGTTGTAGATGTATTCTCTATACTGACCCCTTTCTAACCTACCTAGTGCTTCTCTTTACTGAAACCCAAGTAAGTTCCAAAGAGATATTGATTCACAAACATTGTAAAGAGCTGATTACCATTTGCATCCACCGATGGAGAAAAGACCCTGCTTATGTTGGTATAATGGAGGGAACCCAAGGGCCAACGCTTTTCACCCAAGTATAAATTAAAAACAGCATTCTACCTTGGTAGTCTCACATTTTCAAAGGATAATTTATTTTTTAAAAAAACATGAATTATCTTATAAAGGATAAAATACCAAAAGGCTTGTGAGTGATATCTCAGTCTTTCAGTTTATACAATGCCCTTAATTTTAGCATCTCTATTATAGGAGGGAACACAACCAATGGAACAGAAAATGTTTTACTCCGGGGATACAGCAGGACTGAAATGTTTAGAAGCTGCTGAATAACCACAGATACGCATTTGTGAATTTACCTACCCAGGCTTTATTACAAACAACCAAATAGACTTCCTAAAGACAGTCCATTGATTGTTGTCCCCCCTCCCTTCCTAAAAATGACCTCATGAGAAAAGGATGAAAGAAACAGGGTTGGCTTGGGGGGAAATGTCATCCTACAAATCATCATTATTATGTAGACTGCTTTACCTAGTTAATTGCCTACTCATTTGAATACTGGGATTCTGTAGAGTGCTCTTGGCACATTAATAAAGGGTCAGAAAGCTATTATGGCAGAGTGTTTCATTTTTTTTAATATTGTAATTTTCCCACATGAGAAAAAGATCTGTCTCTTGGAGATTTCAGGAGACTTCTCAAATCCCCTGATGAAATCTAGCACATGATACCTTTAAGGGAGTTCCTCTGAGGGAAGAGAGAAGGCCAGAAGGAAGAGCTCAGTTACATAACCAGTTACCTAAAACTAAATATTCCACCCCAAGAAGCTGTCCAGATGTTGCAGAGTAGAGAGGAGAAGGCCATGAGAGGAATCTGCTTGCCGTTAGCTGTAGGAACAGGAATAGGTGGGAGACAACTTAGTGAAGGGATTTATTGTCAGAGTATTGCAATATCTCTGTGTTTTCCAAGCAATGAACTCTCTGTTAATTATCTGAAGTAAATAAACTCTGCCTGCCAGTATTGCCCTTTCATTTTATTCCTTGGTCTTTGTCTAACAGTAACTTTCTCGATTGTTTTAGTGACTTTGGGCCCCACGGTTACAGATTCCTCAGTTTAGAGACCTGAAACTCCTGAGGCAGCTCCCTTGGGAGATCTTCCTATTCCAGTGAACCAAGAGAAAGTCTCTTACCAGGAACGTCCTCAACCACTACTCTGAGCCCCCACGCTTAGTTTGTACTGATGGTTGGAACTCCACTGACTGCCAGCCAGGAGAATTTGAAATGAGCCATTACCTGGGAAGTGCGTGGGAGGGATGGCCTGGGGGGGAAGTGGGGGGGGAGGAGAAGAGGCATTCCTCTCAGATTCCTGTATCACCACTTCTCAGTTACCGCAACATGTCCCTTCTCTAATATCTACCCCAACCCACTACACGGCCTTCGGTTAGTGGGTAGAGGCCCTGGGGATGGGGGACACACAGAGAGTGGGATTTGGGAGCAGGGCAATTGCAGTGCGTGGGATGGTGCTGCAGCCAAGCCTACACCCTCTGACTGTCTTCCTCTGCTTTGCAGCAGGAGGTGGCAGAGGAGCTAGTGGGCAGTTGGCGCCTCCTCTGCACAAGCCTCCACCCCAGAGGCCAGTCCCGCACTCCACGAGTTCGCCATGATCGCCACCGGCGGCCTGCTGAGGATTTCCGCCAGAAAGCAGGATCCCCTCCGCCCCCCCAGCCAGATCCCCAAGCGCAAGCGGAAAACCAAGAAGAGGCGCAAGAACGACGTGGTGGTGGTGAAAGGCAAGCTGAAGCTGTGCTCCATCTCGGGGCTCATCGCCCTTTGCGGGATCCTGGTGCTGCTGGTGGGCATAGCCATGGCGGTGGTGGGCTACTGGCCCAAGGCCCACGGGGCCAACAGGGAAGGCGGTAAGCAGCCGCCGCCCGCGGGCAGCAGCCACCGCGTCCCGGCCACGGCCCACAGCACTCCCAGTGGCAGCAAGAACCGGTCCGGGAGCCATCCGGGGACCCCAGGGGGTGGCAACTCCAGTTCCGGGAGCGCCCCCGGGAGCACGCCTCCAGCGCGGCCCGCCGCCCCCTCCTCCTCCTCCTCCTCCTCCACGTCGGTGGGCTTCTTCTTCCGCGTCTTCTCTGGCTACCTGCACTCCGACAAGCTCAAGGTCTTCGGGCCCCTCATCATGGGCATCGGCATCTTCCTCTTCATCTGCGCCAACGCGGTGCTCCACGAGAACCGGGACAAGAAGACCAAGATCATCAACCTGCGGGACCTCTACTCCACCGTCATCGACGTGCACAGCCTCCGC